GTGCAGGATGACAAAGCATAAATCAGCTTGAGTAGATGGAAGGGATTTGTCTATTTTGAGGTACATAAAGGAGAGAATGTTGAAGAACCCTAAGAAGTAGGGCTGTATTATCTTATACATGGCACTGATTATTCCTCAAGGTAATCTTTTTCTGAAATTCCATATTTTTATTGTAAAATGTTCCAATTGAGAGTAGACTTGGGACTCTTTTTTTCTTTGTTTCTAGAGTAGAGTGAATGGAGACGATAGTATGTCTTCAGAGAAAAAATCTTGCAAGATTTATGATGGCCAGAAAAAAATGATTGCACATAGATTGTCTAGGTGTTTGTCAGGATTATGAGGGCTTAAAATGGCTTGCAAAGATTAAGTCATTTTATGCTCAGAAGTATTGAAACAGACTGACTACCTCCATTAACTAGGCTTTAAGAAGCACTCAGACTTCAGTATGTTTGAAGCAACTTTCTACTTCTTAAAAATCGTTTTATCTTTCATAAGGACCACTGTGTTTTCTTGGTTCACTGAACAACGTGTTGTGGAGCTTCTCTACTGACCCTAGAAAACATTTGCTGCAGTTGAATTTTTAGACTTACTGTAACTGCATTTATGTAATAAATGTTACAAAATGCTTAGTGTGGATGTTCAGCAGTTTTTTCTTTGTTTACTTCAGAATAGATAAACTCCATTTCATTTCAGAAAACAATTTAATGTTGGCTGATGCACAAGAAATTGGTTCTTGTGTAGTTTTGCATCGTATTTAATAGCTGGGACAATTTTTTAAACATCATCTGAATCTATGCAATAAGGAATTTTGTGCTGCTTTCTTTGAGACTGTCAGAGCAAAGGGCGCTTTACTTTTCAAGTGTATATATGTTGGTTTTTTTTCTGCAATTATATCTTTTTTCCCCTCTTTTTTCATTAAGAAATTGTTTTGCATGTGGAACTAATAGTACTTATTTGTGCTCCTCAGTGCTTTGAGAAAAGCTAGGAGCTTGATTTTTGTCAGTAACTGGATTTTATTCTGAGTGAAATCTCATGTTTTTCTCCCCTTTTGAAACTGCCTTTTAAACAATATAATCAACAGTAGTATAAAAATGCACAATGCAATGTCATATTTTAGGCAGTCATACTGGATTGAACCGTAATTAGTTGCTGTTGCTGAATACACTGTGGTCCTTATTCTCTTTTCATATCCTAGCTTTTCTTTGTGTGTAATAATTCCATCTAGGAAGAAATCTAATTACTAAGATAATTAACACCTTATCACCAAATGGAGTTCAGACATTTGTAGAGTTGATGAATTTTTAAAATATGTAATTTCCTTTTAACTGAATGACAACTGGTGTTATGGAGAAAAAGAGCATATTTTATTGTATCTAGCTTGATTGGACCATATAATTCATGTTGCTATAGAAACAACCAAACCTTTATAAAGGATGGTATTGCTACTACCATTGGTAATAAATTCTTTGACTGTTGCCAATAGTGTCATTAAAATGGTTAAAATAACTTCATTAAAATGGTTTTCTGAAATGTAATGAATGTTCTGTTCACTTTCTGAGAAATGGCAGCTGATGTTATGTGATACTGATTTATAAAGTAATGTACTTTTTCTTCCATAAGCTTACTATTACTGCACGAGATATTTGCGATGTGAACAAAATCATGTTGCAGAACACAGTGCTCCTCTGTTCACTTAGTTATTAAAGCTAACAAATTTTATTGTTACTTGATATCAAGCAGAACTTCATATCTTGCCGTTTGCCAGCCTTAAGAAAGCAACGGTAATTGAGGTTGTTCAGCCAGCAGCTCTGGGGATTTTTGCTGTTCTTTGCAACATTCAGCCTGTGTTTTCCACGTATGATTATTGGGCTAAGTCCTTGAAAATGTTCATTTTTATACTGGTTTTGCTTTGACATTCAAATGCCATGTTTTAACTTCATCGCAAATGGTGGAGTCTGAATTCATGAACTCAGAAAGGAATTGAAAGAATTTGGTTTCTTTTGTGGAGATTTTTTTATAAGGAAAAGGTGAAAGAAGATTCTGATAATATCATGTCTAATAAATTCCTGTGCAGCTAACTCTTTCTGCAGGCACATGTAAAAAGGAGGCCAAAACATTTGCTTTAATATAAGCTCATTGCCAATACTTATATAAAAAAATTGATATCTTCTAAGTTTAAAAAAAAAAAAGTCACAAAATATTTTTACTACCGTATACTGTTTGTATGAAGGCCGCTGTGGTGAATATAAGCTATGCATACTTTAATATTGCACCTAATCAAATTACTAAGAACAATATTCTTTGCTTCCCCATTCTTGGGTCTTTTGCCGACAGATTCTCCTGTTCCAGTAGAGCTCGTTGTTGCAGGAAGTTTTTCTTTCAGCTGTTCAAACTTCAAGTTTCTTCACCCACTGTAACCACAACATTATTTTTTTCTGTGGTGATCTACTGTCTAATAAGAAATTATAGTTCTCTTTGGCTATTCAAGTGCTTTATAAATTTCATTTGAATTACATGTGTTTGTACTTACAGTTCTGCTGTCTCTTTTCCTGGTGAAAGGAAGAGAAGCCTTTGAGCCATTTCTTTAGGTTGGAGACAGTCTTGGAGACCCATTCTTAAGCTCAGCTGTGAGCTTTGCTTGTGGCAATGGTCTTTATGACATTCACCCCTAAAAGAATCCGTCTCAGCTGTTCCCTTGTCTGTAGCCTACTTAAGAACTGTGGAATTATTTAGGTTGGAAGGGACCTCTGGAGGTCATCTCATCTGTTCCCCCTACTTGAAACGGGGCCAGCTTTAAGTCAGATACCACCAATATCTTTATAGGGTTCTTACTTTTCCTCATAACTCATAGTTTCTCCAGTTCATCATTGTTACTGATAGTGTAGAATCAACTCTGTGTTGTAGACACAGTTTCATCTGTGTCAGCAGGGAGCACTGAGCACTTCTGAGCACCCTACATTTCTGCCTCTGCATAAAAGGTTTATCATTATTCCCACTTTACACAAGCAGGCTGAACACAAACCAGTGCTGTGGTTTCCCAGTTTCTCATAGGGCAGTGGTCATCCAGCTGGCTAGTGTCAGATTTGGAAAACTGAGCTGATATCTCCTGGGTCCCACAGAGTGCTCTGTAAATACCATGCAGTAATCTCTTGGTTGTAGGACTCATATTTCTGGGCCATGTCACAGAATGACAGAAGGGTTGAGGTTGGAAGGGATGTCTGGAGGTCATTTTGTCCAAATCCCCCTGCTCAAGGAGAGCCATCTAGAGCCAATTGCCCAGGACCACTTTTGAGTATCTCCAAGGAGAGAGACTCCACAACCTCCCTGGGCAACATAAGCCAGTGCTCAGTCACCCTCAGTAAAGAAGTGTTTCCTGATGAGGAGCAGACCACCTGAGCCCCCATGTCCCTGACTATTGTCCCCCAGAGCTCTGTAGTCACTTTTAATGTCCAGATTTCCACTCACAGTATCATTTGTGCCCACATAAAATAACAGCAGGGAGTAGTAGTCATGGGGCCAGATAAAGCCCCACAACATCCTGGATTCTGGCCTCCGGCGGACAGCAAACCTCTCTAGATGGTTGGTCAGGTTGACAGATGGGTGCCTGTGACTCCCACAGCAGGGTGTCACCCCATTATGATGGCTCACCACATCTTCCTGGTAATCTTGTGTGGTTTAGGGATTTGGTGCACCAGATAATTTGCTTGCTGGCACATCTGGCTTCTCTTTAACTTTGAGGGTGGTGAACCTATTTTGCAGTTCTAAGTCCTTAGGTGGGGCAAGATCTTTCTTCTTGGTGTCATAACTCACCAGCTTCTGTCATTCCTCTTCTCCAGATGTTTTGCTTCACTCGGTAGTGGGGGTTGACGCTACCTACTTCTCTATCACGAAGCGGGGGCTGAGGCTCTTCAAGCTGTTCAGTTGCAGAGAAGATCCTGTCTTATCTCCCTTTCATTTTCTCTGATGCTGCCTGGCCTGCTCACTTCCTCCCGTAACTCCTCCACTTGGAGGCACAGCTCCTCCAAGACACCACAGCTACAGCAGGAGGACAGAGGGCCATCTGTCCTGGCATCAGAGAGAGCCTCTAGGGACTCCCTGCAGCCTGGGACTTGGAGGGCTGCCTCCACCATCTGAAGCTCAGTCTGGGTGCAAGCCTCAACCCTAGCAATGGTTGAAAATGCTCAGTGACGTGGTACCACCGTGTCTAAGACCTGCTGTGGTGCAATTTCAACTGAGGGCCCTTTGCTTCAGCCCTTTCTGCACTGACTGCTGTGTCTGTTGGCTGCCCCCCGTTAGCTGTGCTCCCCTAAACTGCTGCGTGCAAGGGTTCAGCATATTCGGTCCAAGGGGAGCAGTTAGGATAGTACTGACCTTGCTAAATAACAAGAGAGCTCAGTGCCTCTGCATTTGTAAAATTATGTATTTCGTTTTCCTTTTAAAGCAAGGCATAGGCTGATTTTATTGAGTGCTGAGTTAGAAATTAAGTCCTGACTAAGAGATGTCTTACTGGTTCCAAAGCCAATTTTGTTCAAAATTGCTAGGTTACATGGCATGCCAGGTCCCATCTTTTGGATATACTGTTCTACTTTGACAGCAGCATTGCAATACATTAAATAGTTTACTAATTCTAGTGGCTGGGTCTCAGAAGTTATAAATTTTGTGGATTAAGCAATCAGAATCCTAGAAATTTACAAGCTCTGCTGATCACCTAGAATTTTGAATGAAGGAGTTGGTCCAGATGTTTTCACTCTTCTGCCACAATCCTAATCCAATATTTGCAGCGATATCTTTCTTCTGTTCTGTGTGCTCTTGGCTGACTACCAAATGCATTTTTCATTACCGAGCAATGGTATTAAAATCTCATTATTTTTTTTCCAAAGATCATTTTAGGTCTTAATTTCTGTAGATAAAGTTGAAGAGTTGTAAGTCTACACTAGCTTTTAAGGGAGCAAGACTTTTACATGTCCTTAGTTCAGTATTCCTTTCTACTTTCTTTACAGAGTGCCTGGAATAACAATCGCTACAGACATCATCTGTGGTTTTCCAGGAGAGACAGATGAAGACTTCCAAGAAACAATGAAACTTGTAGAACAATACAGGTTTCCAAGCTTGTTTATTAATCAGTTTTACCCACGCCCAGGGACCCCGGCTGCAAAAATGCATCAAGTTCCAGCTGCAGTGGTAAGATCCATTTTCTTGTGCCACTCTTCACGGTGTACTCAGATGTCTTAAAATACACAAGCATGTACATGTCAATGTAGACTCTCTGCAGAACTATGCTGCAATTCAATTAAAGGGTTTTTTTTCAGTCCAGTACGTGAAATGGTTGTTGAATTGCCTTTAGATGTTAGCTAGATCACTCAACACATTTTTGTATACAAATTATTGTTCAGATTGTTAGAAAGGGTAAAATAGTGGTTCTGTTGACATCATGTCTTCTTTCTATCAAGTTTTGGTTGAATTAGCAAGGGTAGTAGCTGATTAATTATGCATATTATTTTTTTCCATTTTAAGACTATTAAAACTCCAGCAATCTCAAGCTTGTTGTGTATAATTATGCAAAGTAGAGCAATGACAATCTTTGATTTATTTGTCAAATATCAAATTTGCAGGCAACTCCTTCTCAAGATTCTCCTTATACACTGCTTATAAACTGCTTCCTTCAGCCCACATGTTAAAGGCCATTGATGATACTGGCATTTAATTTTTCGATTTTCAGGTGTTTTCTTTCTTTCTGTCTGTCTTTGAGAAGTGTAACCTTTTCTGACTACCAACATTTTAATCTCAAATTCCCATGAGGAAAACAGCCTGTTTTGATATAGAAGGTATAGATATTGACTGGATTTTGACTGATATAAATAGCTATTTGTAAGCAATAGTAACAGCAACCACATCTGAAGGTAAGGTTTGATTTATTCTTAAAAAACGGAATTTGAAATTTTTGTAATCTGAATCTCAAAATGAGAAAGTATACAAGACTGATGCCTGATTCAACTCGTTATTATCTCATTATTATGGGCATATATATATCATTTACATTTTCTTTCAGTGTAAGAATATCAGCCAACAATGTAAATCAGTCTGAATAAAAAAAAATGTTTCTTTCAGTTTATGTATGTTGGTATACTAACACAAAGTCAAAACTACATCTTGGTACTTGTATCCGTTTATACATCTGAAAGCTGAAAAGAGTATTTCTGCTTACTCTCAGCGTATACCACAAATTTCATAGGATGTGTCAGCTGCTGAAGACATAAAATTAGATTATATTTGGCTTCTTCAGTTTACTGTTTAGAGAAGTATAGCTTGAGTAATGACTGCTCATTTATCGTAGGCTATCTCATAATGGGAAATGCTGAGTTTTCAAATATCTGGTGTTGAAATTTTCTACTTAGTGTAACCATCTCACACTGTTGAATTATTTTTATTAGTTTTGAATGCTTTTCATTTACAGACTTTTCTAAATGAAAAAAAAAAAAAGCAGAAGTGTAATTTTTGAAAGTTAAGCTTAAAAATCAAAACATTGGTTTATGTTTCTGTTTTGCATTCTTTTGTCCACACATTTTTAAGTGTGCAGTTTTCATAGGAGGTGCAAAGAGCTTCAGTCAATTTACCCTTTTCTGTTTAACTGAACACCATGGGAAGACAGTATGTGAAGAGCAAAATTGTTGAAAGAACATTAGTTGTTCTGTGGTTAGGAGTGTTACTTGGAAAATGGTAATGTCATTTTAACCCAGTTTTACATTCTTTCTTCTTATTTGTAGCACTAGTACTTACTACTTTCAGCGAATTAGAACCTTCAAAGATGATGGGGCCTCTAATCCAGGGCTGCTGAAAATCTGTAATTAATAGATTTTGGTTCCCCCCATCCCCCTCACCCCCCTTTTTCATGTAGTCCTTCAAAAATCCTGTGTTATGAGATCCTTTGTTCTTTTATCTCTTTGTAGAAGTGGAGTGTAACTAGTCAAACAGAGCAGGAAGAGCTTGTGCTAATCTCTTACATTTTATATTCACATTACTTCTAGACAGAAGCTGATGGTTTTTCCTGCATTACCAAGAGTGGACAGGCATTTCATTTATCATTCTGTGCCTAGAGCAACTTACCTATGTTTCTCTGCTAGGAGAAGGTAGTAGCGCATTTCCACCCACGTAATGCACTTTTACCCTTTCGTCCTTTAATAAAATATTATTCGTAGCATTGTACTGTTAATGAATTTATTTTATTGCGTTTGCATAGGGAGAGAAATAACACGTAAAGTGACATCTTACTCTTATGGGCAACTGTCTGAGTGTGGTGCATTGTATGACCAGCCTGAGCCTGTGAGCTAGTGCTTTTACAGGATGTTCATAGCACTGTCCTCTGCCATGGATCTGTTCTTCTATGAAAAGAACTTTGGCTGTATTATTTAACTACAGATGCTGAACCAGTGAGCAAGTTATTTGACAACTCTTGTCCTTGTCCTTTTTTTTTTTTCCTAAAGGCTGGGCGTATTTGCGATGTTATTTCAGCTTTGCAATACTTCTGCAATGGACGGATCTATTCCTATTTGCAAACTGCTCCACTTTAGTGAGTTCCACTTCAACTCATTCCATACAGCTTCAGTGATCCTGCCCAAGTATCACAGCTGCAATAATAACAGCGTATTTGCCTTGTCAGTTCCTTTTAAGTTAGCTCTTTTTTTGGAAGACCTTATAATTTTTAGGGATAGTGTGGAGTGTTAAGCTTAGTAATGTCTAGTGCTTTCAAATTTGTAGTGGATAGTTTTGGGGGAAGTTGTAAATATAATGGCCTTTTTGGAGAAAACCCTCATTTGAGTTTTTCTTAATAGAAAAAAAAATATCAGTAGGTCAACATGGAATCTTCCCTTCACATAGATAATTTATCTTTGAAAGCCTTACAGGCACCGATATTTTTCTAAAAGGGCAGATGACACTAATCCGGACAGACAGATCTGCCACCATAAATTCAGAAAAGACAGTTAAGGCTGCAGGCCTTTCTTGTTTCTCCTGGAGAAAAAATGTCCATAGAGAATCAGACATCTGTCTAAATGGTCTCATCATTTCATAACCATCAATTAGGTTATGCTTACCATAAATGCTGTCTCCGGTGCAGAGAAAAGTTAAGAGCACAGTTAAGCAAAACTGGGCATGATTTTTTTGTTGTTTTTTTTTTTTTTTTATAAGCATTGGCAGTGATGCTGAGTCATGTACATGAAAAATGAGTCAAGATGTTGTTCAGAACTTAAATGCTACCCCAAAATTATGTTTTTCTTGGCTTTTACCCCCATTTTATCCACCTACTGCTAAAAAAATACATTGTTTCAGAGATGCTTGTTATCTCCAGTGGGCTCTCTGTGGAACACTCTCACTCTGAAGCGTGTTAACTGTGAAATGCTATTTTGTAGATGATGATGATGATGATGATTATTATTATTAGTTTGGAGTGGGATTTCTCCATTTCCCTATTGCATAACTCAAATTACAGATTCTAGTCAGATAAATATTCTAATAAGCAATGTAAGAGAACGTGATTTAGACGTGTCTGATAGGGATTTTATATTTAGTGGAATTGTAAGGGATCCGAATGCTTTAATTCTAAGTGTAAAAATTACTCTTTTTCCCTAAAATTGAGGGTCTGTAACATCTTATGTTCTTGATAATTTTAATTTGTCCTTTATTTTTTCAAGGTAGCTGTTGCTTGTCAGGGGACTTGTGAGGAGATTTCTCTCTCTGTCCTTGAGATTTGATCCATCACAATTTCTGAAAGAGTTAGGGGACTTCATCACATCACAATCAGCTTGATTTCTGTCAAGCTGATGGAAACAGCGTGAGGAAAGTGCCATTTTGAAAATAGGTATCATAATAAGCTACAATTAGGTTCATCTCTAGTAAGAGTAGGATATAGCAGCTGTTTTGGGAGCAGTAACGTGACTGCAGCTTCACGATTACACTACCCTCAAGTGCAACGTGGATTCCAGTCTTTATGTAATTCAATTTCAATTATTGGTGTAATTATTTGGTTTTTTTCAAACAAAAGCATTGTGATGTCTAGATAAAAGTCTATATATTCACTTTTTCTTACAGTCTCTTTCCTTCTCTCTTTCTGTATATCATCAAATAATAAATCACAAAACCTTGCTGTCAGCTAGAAGATTTTGTCAGTCAACTACTGAACCTTTCTTTTAATTCTTCTAAAAAGCATCTCCTTAAATTTTTCTCTCTGTATTAGTTGCATTAAGCACTGTGCTTACTATACTGAGGTGAATAACCAAGTTACAAACTTCTTAACTGAACTACTGTTTGATCTCAAAAATAATTTGCTTCAGAAATAGAGGTTGGTACAAGACATTTTCTCTTATGGCATATAGAGGGGAGTTACTAAAGTCTCTCAGTACCTGAAGGGTATGTTGGGTGTGATATGTCCATGGTGGACAAAGGTATGAGACTGTCTTACATGTGAAAGTGTCTACCCAGTCTCTGGAAGCCCACTTTTCAGCAGCCTTCATCCCAAGCAGTATTTGCTCTAGGCTACCAGTTGCTTTTGGTTCAAGGATGGCCAGGCTTATATTCTGCTTCTCTTCTGTAGAAACATGCCATTTCCATCCAGCCACACTGCAGGTGATTTGCCCTGCTGCCATCTATCCACCCTCAAATATTGTGTCCAGGCAAAACTCCTTCTGAATATAAAACTTCATCCATATATATACTGGCTATTTCACCTATTCAATATATACCCATTGTTACTAGACAAAAAAAATATCTGTCATCAGACATTGTACCCCTCTATCTTTAATCAAACCATCACTTAAATCTGTCACTGTATTTACCAATTGTAGGAGCAGTGCACAATGCACTAAGAGATTTCTTTCTATAAGGATAGCATAACGCCACCTGCTCAGTGTTGTCTGCCAGACAAGTTATGTTTGAACATTTCTGTGGGAGCAAACCATCTTGTATTTTATACCTTTTTTCTGTGATGGCTACTTATTTTTCTTTGCTTTTGCTTCCTTCTGAGACGTCTCAGAATTTTTCTGACACTCTTTCATGAATGAGTGGCTGCAGTTCTGCCGTCTCTCTTCACCAATTAAAATTCTGTGAGGCACTCAAAATAGGTGTTCTTGGGTACCATCAGATACAATATGATGTTTAAATCCTCCTTTGCTGGATGGATATAGATTTTG